GTATATATTTACATATAAATATCCGGTTGGCCCACGACCATTTGTTGAAAAGACTTCTCTCTCCACTGAATGATTTCAGTACCCTTGTCGAAGTCAATTAATCATAAATGTGTGGGTTTATTTCAGGGGTCTCAATTCTATTCCATCGGGCTGTGTGTCAGATCTTATGCCAGTACCATATTTTTTTTAACTGAGTTATAGTCGTTTTACAGTGTTGTGTCAAATTCCAGTGTAGAGCACAATTTTTTAGTTATTCAGGAACATGCATATATTCATTGTCACATTCTTTTTCGCTGTGAGCGAAAGATCTTGTATATATTTCCCTGTGCTATACAGTATAATTTTATTTATCTATTCTCCATATGCCTGTCAGCATCTACAAATTTCAAACTCCCAGTCAGTCCCTTCCCAACGCCCCTCTCCCCTGGCAACCACAAGTTTGTATTCTATGTCTGTGAGTCTGTTTCTGTTTTATATTTATGTTCTTTTTTTTTTAGATTCCACATAGGAGTGCGATCTCATATGGTATTTTTCTTTCTCTTTCTGGCTTACTTCACTTAGAATGACATTGTCCAGGGACATCCATGTTGCCGCAAATGGCGTTATGTTGTCGTTTTTTATGGCTGAGTAGTATTCCATTGTATAAATATACCACCTCTTCTTTATCCAGTCACCTGTCAATGGACATTTAGGCTGTAGAGTAATGCAACAGACTTTTGTGTTATTTTGTATCCTGCAACTGAACTTGATTATTAGCTTTAATCGGTTTTTTTGGATAGATTACCTAAGATTTTCTGTATATAAGATCTTGTTATCTGCAAGGAGAGATAGTTTTATTTTTTCCTTTCCAGTCAGGGTGCTTTGTACTTCTGCTTCCTGCCGAATTGCCCTAGCTCGAACCTGCAGTGTAATGCTGCACACCAGTGGTCAAAGTGGGCATGCTGGTGTTGGTACTGAACTCAGGGGACAAACTTAAGGTTTAGGTATGTTGTTAGCTGTAGGTTTTTCACAGATGTCTGTATCAGTTTGAAAAAGAAACGTCAGTAGGTGGAGCAATGTCATTAATGTTTGATTAAATGTTATACGTTAAACCAAGCTTGGTACCAGTTTTAGCAACTATGTGATTAAACACCTGTATGTTTTATTCTTATACTGATGTTGTTCTTTTAATGTGGCAGTAGGAAATTTCAGATTAGTCTAAAGTTAATCAGCAAAGACAGCTGAAAGTCTGAGAGTAGTTTGAATATTTTGTTTCTAAATAATTTAACAGTGGTCTAGTACGCTACTCCTATAGAAATGTAAGCTTGAGAAAGCTTGAAGACGTCAACCTCTTTAAAGTTACCACCTTGCATTGTACATGTCTTTTAAAGCTGACTCAAGTCCTTTCTGAAATAAGGCTGGCATATTTTATGAATTTATAAAAAATTGCTTGATAAAGTTGCAGAGAAAAAAACATGTTTCAAAACTGAATCACTTACAAGCCACTAGAAGCCGTTTACAACTTTACAAATAGTGGCAGAGATGAGAAATCATGCATTTAATATTTTTCAAAATTTTGATTAAAAATTGTGCTATGAAAAATACTTTGGATAATTGTGCTTTAATCAGGTGTATGAAAAATCTGGCTTTTCTTTTGCAACGTAATAGCTTTTCAGTGTGCCACACTGTGGCTTTTAAGATTTTAATTACTCAACAAGGTAGGCTGAAACCACAGACACTACTTAAATTATGCATTCGTATGTGCTTTTTCTGTGAAGTACATGAAACTCAGACCCTCTTTTTTGAAATTCTGAAATGGGTCTTATTTTTTTCAATAGAATTAAAAGCTTGATTTTTTAAAAATATCCAGATTAAGGAAACGGTTGTGCACTTTGCTACATTTCTCTATTAGCCTTGACTATATATATATATACTGTGTGGTCTGTTAATTAATAAAGGCTTCAGGATTCATGACTGGCAGAGGTCACTGAGTACTTTGGGAAATGAGAGAAAAAAGCTTTTGTTGAGGATAGTTGAAGAAGATTTGAAGGCAGAAAAAAAGGGGGCAGAGTAAGAAAAAATCTAGAGGCTGATTATAGGCCGTCAGAACATATATGTTAATTGAATGAGTGAGTGAATGAATGAACCTGGCATGTTGAGGGACGATGAGAACCCATACTGACTGGAAGACAGTTCCTGTAAGAAATTGGTGAGAGAGATGTTACAGTCCACATTTTAATGGGCTGTGTTAAAGTTTGGGCTTTATTTTTATAAGGAGAAGG